TGAGGCCCCATCACGCTAAACATGTATAAAAATGACTCTGGAGATTGAAAGAGATTATAGGCCTTGCAGACCATCTCGTATACCCTGATAAAATCCCAGCCATTTGGGGTCAACTGTGAGGGCGCCACGTTCAGATGCGCCAGCAACTTACAGACGAAAGATGAAAAAGGAAGGCGAACTTCTATTGACAAGAAAAAATAGGCATACATCATAAAGAAATGCCTGGCAGAACCTTCTGCGCGCGATGAGCAAACACGCTCGTTTTTCGGCACAACACCAATTTCCCACTGATCGTCAAAAGCTTGGTTAGGGTAATGTGGATGGCAACTCTTACTTGCGCTAGCTCTTCTGGCGAGCAGAATATAGAGGAAGTATCAAGCACTGTATCTGCTACCCAATTTAGGGATTTTTCATCCTGCAGATTACGCTTGACTGGAGATTCTCCTTCGGGATCAATATATAAAACTTTCTTTTTGGAATCGGGATTCAGTTTTTGCTTCTTCTTATCACCAGCACCACGTCTCGCCATAATTTCCTTGATTTGAGGGGAAACAAAATCTGATTCAGAAGAAGAAGAATCAGTAGAAGAAGACGAGTTAGAAGAAGCAGAGAAAACAAATGCAGATTTATAATCATCAAAATTCTTTTCTTAAAAGGATACTCTGCTGGATATATTACATTTAAAGGTAAGGGACTTGGACTCTCTCGACCGCGAGAATCTTGCGCGATGGGAGACGAAGTATCGCGCAATGTATTTGGAGAAGAGGGTATAGGGTTTACTGTATTTACAGATCTATCACTACATTCAGATTTTGAAGAAAAATCACTTGAAATCAAAATAGGACCAGTCATTTTAAAGGAAATCTTTGGGAACAACGACGAACTCTGTTGAGAAAGAGTTTTCGCATTTTCGCGATTCAAGGGTTCGCGAAGACGAACCAAGTCCAAACCGTCTACTAGCAGGAAAACGGCTATCATTTACAAAAATGTTAGAACAGGGAGTGGCACACTTGTCAGTAAGCCATACTTCCCTAGTTCCCAACGAGCTTGATCTAGGTAGTGATTTAGAGGGAGGACTGGACGAGCCAGACCGTTCGGTTAATCTGATGAAATTCACAAATTTGCGATTATCAGACATATCCCAAACATAAACAATGAAGCAGATGAGGTAATAAAGCAGGATGAAGAACATGCCTGAGATTTATACTTCGGATAAACTAACCACGAGCAGGACGTGTCAACACCGAAAAAGCAGAAGAAATCAGCAAGCACTAAGGAACAGAGGATCTCTCACAGTCTCAATGAAATATTTTCCCTCTAAACCGAAAAGCTTAGTACAAATATGAAAGGTTATGTCAAACGGATAGTTCGAAGGTCACAAAACGTGTTGTGGTAAACGGTTTTACAGGGACACGTGGAAAGAAGGTAAAACGTTTACACTTCAAAACCACCCACGCTTACCAGTAAACACCCACGTAATCTCCATAGCATTTAATGCTTCTGACTGTTAACGTCTAATCCACCGTTTTTAAGCGGCTAAAATCATGATGACACTTTAACATGATTACCGCAGCTATCAAAAAAAACATGCAAGATAGAAATATCGCACACAAACACATATATATACCTCACAACTTTGCCACATGACAAAACTGCAAGCTAGGGGGCAACTGATCTGGATAAAATATAGTAGGCCCATTAGAGGCCCAATAACATACAAGGAAGCCCAATATAATGAAGGATCCAGAGCAAAGCGCGATGGTCAACCTCACGCACAAGGCCAGGCGTGATGTCCCCATTGCGCATGGCAAGACGCGATGCTCCTATCGCGCATGAAACCGCCTTTTGATATAAGATCCATAAATAAGGAAGCTAACTTAAGAACCAAGGCAAGCTCACTGCACCTTTGAACTAATAAACAGAGGACAGCACCAGCTCGTCGCGACTTCATCAAGATAACCTGATACTAAGTAGATAAGGCTACTTAGGTCCTAGTCTGACCTGCAGCCCAAACATGGCCAATCAGAAGCCATACCGCCTTATGAAGCGGCATCATAACTGCTATATAAGAAGAGGGTACACACCCAGGTACATCTATCTATTTCATTATTCATATACATACACATGCCTCTGATACTGACTTAAGCATCAGAATGTTTTCGCAGGTACCCCCCATCTGGACTCACCGTGCTAGCAAAGGACAAAGGCATATTGTTCCTATACAACAACTCCAGGCCAAGATAAAGAACATCATCCCCGTTTCAATCGTGTGTGATTTGGTCTCATAAATATTATTAATAATTTGCTAACCAAGCTTCCTGCTATAAATATTGGGATGGATTGTTAAAGGAAGGCATCCCATGAAATCAGCTTAATATAGAAGAGAAAGCTGAGATTGGGTTCCAGAGATACCGCTAAAAAAGATTAGACAAGAAATGACCACAGTCTAAGATAAAAAAAGAGCACCGCAGAGAGCATAAATAAAAGTAAACCAGAAAGATAAGATTACTCTGACAATCAATTATCATACCCCCATCATCTGAGACAATCAATTTTATGTTTTACTGATTTGAATAATTCTGTTCGTATTATTTAATGAATTGGGTTATTGAAAAATATTTTTTGAGAATAATTTGGATATTATAACCCCCAATTTGTATACCATGAAGAAGTTGGTTCTCTCAAGATGGATGTGAAGAGAGGGGTGGGTTTTCCTAGACGAATCTCAGATAAATAGAAGAACGTTGAACACAACATTTCCGTAATTAGTGGTAGCTTTGTTTATTCTATAATGGTTCATACATGCTATAATCAAATTATATTTTAAGATATTTTTTTTATTGGAGCACCACTCAATTACACGAAGGCCTTTATAAGAATTTAGCAACTAATGATATAATTATATACTTAATACTAATAAAATTATTGTTTTTTATAATATATTCTTATTTTCTAGCAATCTTATGGTACCGGAAAGCTAGCATTCCATCTTATGTCAATCGTCATTATAGAAAAACTAGTTTCAACAACCTAGCGTTATTTATGATTTATTTTATGGAATAATATGACGAGATTGAATACATTAATAAGCATTAAAAAATATAAAGATTAAACAATGATATTACGAGATCGTATACATTAATAAACATTGCAAAGTATAAAAATTAAACATGTTCATATTAAATTACGATTTGGTTCAGTTCGTTATTGCATATTCTACCACATCACATGCAGATTAACTAGAAAGGATCATCATCTCTTGCATCCTTTTCCAATCTATTGTCAAGGAATAAAATACTTTTTTATCTCAATAAAATAAATTGAGACCTTGTTGAATATCATAGATACAAGAGGAAATGATAGTAATCCTTGTTGTATTAAACTACACAACATTTGTGCTATTATATAGCAAACCAATTGAAGAATACAAAGAGACACACTCAATGTGGGACTTCTACACTATTAACACTAACACTTTTAACACTCTCCCTCAAGCTGTAGCATATAGATCATATGCTACAAGCTTGATACATAAATAATACTCCCATTAGGAACCAAAAAACAACAATGCTACATCAACGAAATGAAATGACTAAGTGCAACAAATCAACTGGAATGACCATCAGTCTGAAGAGCTGATAAAGAGACAGTGCTGGAATGGACATCAGAGCATGGATGGTGCCAGAATTATCATCGACAAAGACAACTGAGCTGACCAGGACATCAGCATCAAGATCCCTCTCGGACATTTCATTTAACAGTTGGTGAGCAGCCGTGGTTTCCCCTTGACTATGCTACAAGCTTATTACAAGAAAGACCAAGTAACATAACATCAAAATAAATCTCCTAAATGAGAAACCAAAAATCAACAATGTGCTCAAAATGAACATCAACATGGAAGATGCCGGAATGATCATCGACAAAGACAATTGTGCTGGAATGACCATCAGCAACATGGACAGTGCTCCCCCTCAAGAGGAACTTTTAAACAGTGCCGAAATTATCATCGGCAAAGACAATTGTGCTGGAATGACCATCAGCAACATGGACAGTGCTCCCCCTTAAGAGGAACTTCTAAACTGTGCCGGAATTATCATCGGCAAAGACAATTGTGCTGGAATGACCATCAGCAACATGGACAGTGCTCCCCTCAAGAGGAACTTTGGTGTCGGAATTAACATCAGCGGAGACAACATCAGCAACTTGGACAGTGCTCCCCCTCAAGATGGATGATGAATAGTATAAATACTCCATCTTAGGAAGAAAGAAGATTACAGAAAAACAAAGCTTCGTGGAATCGGAAAAGTCGTCGGAGACGACGGTGGGTCGTCGGAAAAGTCGTCGGAGACGGTGGTAGATTGCCGAAAAAGTCGCCGGAAAGTCATCGGAAAAGTCACCAAAAAAGTCGCCGGAGACGGCTGTCAACGGTGGACGACGCGGTCAACGGTGGTCGGTCAACGACAACGGTGGTCAACCCAACAACTTCCCAAGGATCATTCTTGTCTGATGTGACAGATCGGTCTAAGCTGCAGTCACAGAACATACTAAGAAAAACCCGAAAAAGAAATAGCAACAGGAATCCCTCAAGGAGGGTGATATCTCTCTATAACATATTGAAATCATGGAAAATAGAACTAAGTTAAACGGATTAAGATTCCTCTTGTTAGGCTCTGATACCATGTTGAATATCATAGATACAAGAGGAAATAATAGTAATCCTTGTTGTATTAAACTACACAACATTGGTGCTATTATATAGCAAACCAATTGAAGAATACAAAGAGACACTCAATGTGGGACTTCTACACTATTAACACTAACACTCTTAAGACACCTCCATATTTACTTGCTACCTCAGCAACCTATTGATTTGACCTACATACACTTGCATCCTAATGAAGAGCGTTGGAATTTTTATTTTTATTTTGCAAGTACATCCCCTCTATTGTTTGCTGCAGCACAAGGAGTCATAACAAGCAAATGATGAGATACTACGAATGCAAAAAAGAGAAAAATATGTATTAAAAATCATCATTAATTTAATTACATCAAACTGCAAAGGGCAGCTTTACAAAGCAAATTTCCAAATAAACTGGGTCTAGACTTTTGACTGGAAGCGACCATTTATTTCTAACCAATCCAATATCTACATTCTAAGCTTGCAAAACCATGATAGAGCTATATTGTATACCCCATATATTTTGCATAGTGACTCTATCATGAGACCAAGGGAACCAACAATAACGACTGTCTTGCACATATCACCCCTTGTATCATCATGCTTTTTTGACCCTGCAATGAAAAAAAATCAAGGATTGCTACAACCGAGTATAATTGCCTACCCTGAAGAAGTTATACGTGAGGCGGTTCTGGGAGAAACTAGAACTGGTTCATTGCTTGCAGCTTTCATGGCCGCGATTTCTTCCAAACGCTTCCATGAGGCCTCCTGCTTGGACTTTATAGACTTCTCTTGTGCTTCTTCTTCCTGAAATTTGTGCAAGCACTCCTCATAGAGTTCAGGATCGGTATCAGAGAAGATCTTGCGTACATTTATTGTCAAACTCTGGACTGCCTGGTTCCAGTGATTTCGAGCATTTTTCTCCAGAGCAGGTAAGACAATAGGAAGTATTATTTTGCGGTTCTGCTTGATCAAGTTCTCAATGTGGACATTATTCCACAAGAACAAAGCCCTTTCTGCTACCTGCAAATGAACAAAAAATCATATGAGAGACAGAGACTATAAAGCATAGAACCACGGTGACAATAAAAATATCCAGAATCCAGGGTAATGCTCTCATCATAACATTGTCAACGAGTGTCAATTATAAAAGCCTGCCATGAATAAAGAATGCCAACTCTATAAAAATAAAGTAGGAACATTATGAAATTAGTCTTTGCTCCATGTTTCCGGAAGGATGTTGACATACAAGGTCAGAAGGAAGAGGAAAAGACCAACAGAAAGGGTCAGAAGGAGTACATATTTTAAATAATAACAAAAAGTTATATTGCTAGTTAAGTAATCATTGATCGGTATGATTTATCACATAGTGACTACCTCCTCACACTCCCCTATGAACTATAAGACAAGTAGAAGGGGAAAGGTCGTCATTTCTTTTGTATAAGTTCTCCAATTGTTTTCACATTGTATAATTCTAAATTTTTACATTCATGTGACGCATGAATAACAGCTAGTATTTCTTTTATTGATGGAAGAAGTAGCATCTTCCCTTGCAATTTGGGAATATCAAACTGATACAAACTTTGGGAGAACCTCACCCCAAAAGCTACCTCAAGAGGTAAGAGAATCCAAAGTCTATATAAATCCCACATTAGTCACCCATATAACCAATGTGGGACTCCAAGTCCCATACCTTGGAGTAGGATCGTAACACAAACACTGCTAATTATAATGAGAAGTTGAGAACAGATATGAAAAGTTCATGTGTTGAAAGAGAAAGCTGAGGAAATGGCAACTTTAGAAGGATTACATTTCAATAAGATAGCAAACAGAGAATCAATAATTAGCATGGAAAGGTTCCCTCAACAGGATAAGTACAGAGCACAGAGGTTGTATTTTCAATAGAAGTCTTGGAGAATGATTTTAAAGTTGAAATAACTGTTTTTTTTTTTGTATATTTTGACTCCTCGAACTATGTATGATTTTGCAGAGCAAAATAGGAGTACGGTTACATTTGAAACCTCATTCAAGAAACTCAACTAAATTCCCATTCCTTGCCAAATTTAATAAAACATCAGAGACTTTGCTGTATATACTCCAACAGCAACGAAAACCCTTTGATGAGCATCATCACACTCCCATTACCACCATAGAGTATGTTGCTACTGCAACCACTTAACGTCAATGAAATCAAAGCATTCAATGAAATCAAAGCATACACTTTACATTCCAGAAATGATAGCTACACCTTTCTGTTTAAATACTAAATTAAAGGGCAGCCTAGTCATTGAGGTCTAGGGAGTGTGACATGTGACATGTACACAGCTTAGCCCCTGTAATCGAAGAGGTTGTTTCCTGTGAGGCTGTGACTAGAACTCGTGAGGCAGCAAACCTACCATTGCGCCAAGGGTCATCCTCTAATTTAAATATTTGAATACTCAAAAAAATTAAAAACATTGTACACTTCAATGAAAAGTGCTACCACTTCTAAGCACCACCACAATTCAGAACACTTCCTAATCAATTACTATTTCAGGTAACGCAACATTTCTAATATGCAATGTCTAACCAGACCATAATAGAATCCTCGCGAACACAGTTTCTACCACAAAAAATAGGCAACAGGTGCTATCATGGTACCATTTCACTCACATCCCATACTGAACAGACAGTGCTATCAAGGTACCATTTCACTCACATCCCATACTGAACAGACAGCTAATAGCCCAAGTTACCATCAGAAGCCAGCATAGGAGTCCCATGTCACAGGGATAATCCATCATCTTACTTCAACAATTGACACTGCATTGTGATGCACTTGAGTCACCATAAGTTATTATAATTGCAGACGTTTTAGTTTTAAGGCCTTTTATAATTTTAATAATTGCAGACGTTTTAGTTTGCATGACTTTATGTTTGGTTTATGGTTATTTCCGTTTTGTATTAGTTTTAAGACCGTTGATGGTCCTTTATTATCAGTTACTTTTTGTATTGCCTGATTAAAAGGCTTGTTAGAAGGATGTGAAAAGGAGACTTTTGATTGTTAAGGAATAATAGATAGCAAAAAACTTCTGCATTTTTCTGAAAGCCTATTTTTCCTATAATTTTGCATCATTTGGTATCAGAGCTCAGGTTGCCTTAAAGATGGCTGAGCAGGAAAATTGTGGAGGTCGTGGTCGTGGACGAAGAGGTCGTGGCGGCAGAGGACGCGGTCAACCTACCGATGACGATTATTATAATGATGCGAGAGATGCTGAAATTGAGGAAAAGGACAGACGGATCCAAGAACTCGAACAACTGCTTGCAGAGGCACAGTTGCACGGGTCAGAAGGGAGACAAGAATCTGAACTGTCATCTCCAGAGGAAGAGGAGGATAAAAATCCATTTTGGAACCGCGAAAGACCAAGGAGAGTCGAACCGGTAATCAACCCTTCACATCCAATTTTGGGATGAAGATCGAGATTCCAGAATTTGAGGGATCAACTCACCCTGACGTATTCATCGACTGGTGATACACCGTCGAGAGGGTTTTTGATTTAAAAAACCTCACAGATGAGCAAAAGGTGAAATTAGTGGCAATCAAATTGAGGAAGCATGCCTCAATCTGGTGGGAACATGTCAAGAAACAAAGAATCAGAGAAGGAAAGTCTAAGATTCAAAGATGGGACAAGATGAAGAAATTGTTGCAGCACAAATTTTTGCCTGCTCAATACAGACAAGAGGCCTTTATTGAGTATCACAATTTCAGGCAACGTGACCTTACGGTGGAACAATACACCACTGAATTTGATCGTCTTCGAATGCATTGTGACATGGTCAAAGAAGATGAACAAGTGATTTCTCGATATCTAGGTGGATTGCGGGATGAAATTTCTGATGTTGTGTACCTACAACAGTATTGGTCTTATGAAGATGTGTGCAAACTGTCCTTGAAGGTGGAAGGACAATGTAAAGGAAAGGGTGACAGTTCTAAGTTTCAATCAAGATTTCCTAGAAAGGAATTCGGAGCTAAATCAGTGAGTTCATCAGCAACTTCAGCTGCTGAAGGGAGTTCTACGCCTCAAAAAAATATTCCCAACAAGGAAGGGTCGAGTAAAGGAAGTAGTGCAGGGAAGAGATGTTTCAAATGCCAAGGAATTGGACACTTTGCTGCAGATTGTCCATGTCCAAATAAACAGATTGTGACGTTTGCAGATGCTCCAATTTTTTATGAAGAACCAATCTATGACAATGTAGATGAACAAGAAGAAACGGAATCTGAAGAGGTAGAGATTGTCTATGCTGATACCGGAGAATCACTAGTCAATCGAAGAGTCTTGAATGAGGATTTGGTGAATGATGAAACGTGGCTTAGGCACACCATTTTCCACGCCAAGTGCACCAGCGGGGGAAAAGCATGCAGTGTGATTATAGATGGAGGGAGTTGTGAAAATGTGGTTTCTACCACTATGGTAGAAAAATTGGGGCTAAAAACAGAAGCACACCCACAACCTTATAAGCTTGTATTGGCTATAAAAAGGGAATAAGGTAAGGGTAACCAAAAGATGCCTCGTGTGTTTTTCAATTGGAAAAAAATATTCAGATGAGGTATGGTGCGATGTCGTTCCTATGGATGCTTGTCACATTTTATTAGGTAGGCCATGGCAATTTGATAGGAAGGCAAAACATGATGGTTTCAAAAATACTTACACCTTCAAAAAGGATGGTCACCTTTAACACTAGCACCTTCAAATTGGAGGAAGGAAGCAAAGGATTCTCTGCTGTCCAAGTCAGAAATTTTAGAACTGACAAAATTCGCAGATGCAATGCCAGAAGAATTCCTGCTTGGATTACCACCTGAAGAAGTTGACGTCAATAAAGACGACGTAGATTCGATGGCGAATCTTTTCGTAGCGAGGGAGGATGATGCACTTGAGTCACCATAAGTTATTATAATTGCAGACATTTTAGTTTTAAGGCCTTTTATAATTTTAATAATTGCAGACGTTTTAGTTTGCATGACTTTATGTTTGGTTTATGGTTATTTCCGTTTTGTATTAGTTTTAAGACCGTTGATGGTCCTTTATTATCAGTTACTTTTTGTATTGCCTGATTAAAAGGCTTATTAGAAGGATGTGAAAAGGAGACTTTTGATTATTAAGGAATAATAGATAGCAAAAAACTTCTGCATTTTCCTGAAAGCCTATTTTTCCTATAATTTTGCATCACATTGCATTAAGATTAATTTGTGGCTTAGCCTGCAAACTAATCTTGCAGTTTTGTAATGAGATTAACAGTATGCATAATTAATCCATTAACAAAGAAAATCACTCAAAAATAATCCTCTGTAAAGCAACCAATTCAACCTAAAAACTTAATTTGTTAGGTGAAGGTCATATTAATGGTTTTATATTCTTTTTTTCTAACACATCCCGCAACACAAGAGTCCATTAGGCTTGAAGGATGGACAATCCACAGGCCCACCTACCTATATCAAGAAACTCCATAATATTTAATTATTTCTTAGTAGAACGAGACGGTAAGGATTAAACTCGTGGCCACTGGGTCACAGGGACTCTGATACTATGTAAAGCAATTAATTCAACCCGAAAGCTTAGCTTAAGCTTTTAGGTGAAAACTCTAGTAATGATTTTATATTATATTTCTCTAACATCCTCATGAGTCCTAACATGTAGACCTTGTAACTAAAACAAAAAAAGACAAAAAATATTATCAATTCAATCAAACTAAAAAAAGCCAACAAGTGTAACCCATAAGCTGAGCATTAGAGCAATCAATTTCTTTATCCAGCAAATTGTATACGTTGGATTTCTTGTTTTGATAAATTTTTGTAAATTGCAACTTTTCCCATAACTTTTCATTATTTTCAAATGTCTACAGCTCCTATGAATTTGATCATCCACTAGTCCCATAACAAGACATTGTCCATGAAAGACACCTAATGTGATTGCCATAGTTCTGTCTAGCTATCCTTTTAAGGAATATGCACCAAGTCAACAGATTAACATCTACTATCTAGGAAGTTTGTAATACAGTTGGTGAATGCGCAAGATAAATAAGATGTTCTTTCTCAATGAGATTCCCTACATGGAGAAATATGTGCACCATATTATCTGCAGCATAAACAATAATATTTTCATGACATTTGCATTCTCAATAATCAACTGCTAAATTTCTGGCGCAAACTAGGTGAATCCGTTGCCCCTATACTATAAAACTTACCTAATTCTGTAACAAACAATCCAAATGAAATGACCACACATATGGCATCGCATGGACATCAAATTGTCAAAGCAATAACAGACCACATATCTTTCAGCAAAACCTATGTCAACACAGCTAAAAATCTACCAGCAAAATTAAAAAAAAAGTAACTAAGACAAGGTCATAAGACATTAGAATACCATAAGAGAGTCCAGCTTACCATTATCCTCCATCAATGTTTAAAGTGAACTTCCTAGAAATCAAAGTCAAAGGTAATTTTATGAATTAAAAGTGAAAGCAGCTGCTTCTTGTATCAGTCATATTAATCCAAATGTCAGATTATCTTCAGAGACATTCTAGTTTATAGACTTAGGCAAATCTTTTATGTCTTAACACAAACAAAATTAGGATGCTATTCAACATGCAAAGCAGTTTTCTGCACCAAATTTCTATCACTCCTAGTGAAAAATACGCCTCGACATGTAATCTTTCTATTTCTTTCTTGAGCAGTTGAGAAATTATATACAAGAAAACAAAAGAGAAAGTAGAAACTGATGGGAACTACTAACGTTACCAAACCTGGAAATGTGAACTGCTCAAACAACGACTTATTCGGCGGAACAAGGATACCATGCACCGTTGGAACTCTGCAGGTTGAGTTGCTTCCAAAACTTCCTCCAGCTCACCTAGAAACATAACCTCCTTGGAACTGTTTGTAATTGGCCAATATCGTAGTAATCCCTGAATAACAGTATCAGCAAGCTTGCAGTCTTTTTCCACAAACTGCGTGATGCAGTAAGATAACTGCTGGTGGTACACCAGTAAGCATTTCGGTTTATGAAGAGGAATAAGCACTCGCACAAGAAATAATTTGTGTTCTTCTTTCAGCGGCAAAGCAAATCCATTGATTATACTCCCCAAAATTTCTAGAAGTTCTGCAATCCCATTGTGTTTCTCAGTTTCAAAAATGAATCGATAGAATATATTGTTGATTGCTTTCCTGATGAAAGGTCGGTGCACCATAAATTTCCCATATATACGATGAAGAACTGTCTTCAAGTAATCCCGCTCCCTAGGATCCTCTGAATCAAAAAGGTCTAACAATCTGAGAACAAATGAATGATCAACATATCTTTTTGCTAACTTTGCATCAGTCTCAGGTGATGCAACAAACCTTACAAGGAATTCATATACAATTTGCAAGTGAGGCCATGCAGGGTCCATTGAAGGCTCTTCCTCTTCCACATCAAAGGCTTCTAGAACTTTGTTTTCACTGGGAGGAGAAGTCAGCGTCCTGAACAAATTTATAGAAACCATCTTCACAATTTCTTGCATCGTAATTTCTGTAAACTTGCCATTAGCTGAAGAAACATAATCCACAAGTTCAACTAATGTTTGTCGCTTAATGTCCTTCTCTTTGAGGTTCTTTGTAGGGTCAGCAAAGTCAAATTCAACACAACACATTTGCAGCTTTCTTATAAACATATTCTGCTTCTCTGAACTTGGAACATCTCTAAAACTTGGCAAGGCTTCATAAGAGGAAGCTATGAAACACCCATTAAGCTTTGAATTCACATCATGGAGAAACTTGTCACCATGATTTAGTCCAAGACTTGAATTAGAATTAAAGCCTGAAAGAGGAGAAGCAGTTGAATTTCCATTCCGGTAACCTGCTAAATCACTGCTGCTTCTTGAACTAGTAGAAGCAGTTGAAGAGGCTGTTAATGTTCCTCCTCCTTCACGATTATCAACAGATTTTGAGGGCTTTCGAGGGAGCCTATTTAATATCTGTTTGATCATAACTTAAAATCTATTCAACAAAAAAACTATTGAAATGCACTTCAGAGCACACTACTCAGCGAAACTCCTCCAAATCAAACAAAGCAACAATCTCTAGTGGCAAGCTATCCCAATTGCATTAAGTTCAACACCAGGCAAAAAATGACACCCAAGTGAAACAATAACCTTATAACTTCACTTCCGTCCCAGCCATCAAAAGACACTGATCTTCAACTAAACTTATCAACAAGCCATTTATTTGGGGGCAGCTAGAACCAGAGGTACCCATCCTTCTTCAATTGGGGGAAAATTCTGGAATACAAACACATGCCGAGCTCAAAATTACACCAAAACTCCCAATACAAGACACACACACACACACACAAACAAAAATGCACTATACTTTCCCTCTTACAACAAACAAATTTAGAATAAAAAAATGAAAGGAACAAAAAAAAAAAAAATTAAAAAAAATCCTAAAACTGTTTATTGATACAAAAAAAAAAAATCTAAATCTAAAATTGTCTGAAATATGAGAAGCCTGCAACAACAGTTACCTTCTCCTCTTCCTTGTATGAGGATTTCAGCAGCAAATATAGCTGGATCAGACAGAAACAGGATCTGGGTCGGATCCCAAAAGCCCATATAACATCCTAAGCAGCAGTGCCCTTCAAAGTTTCGACAAAGCATGAAACACAAACATGGAACAAACAACATTAGTAATAGGATTTTTGTTAAAGAAAAAAAGGGAGGGTGCAGAGGAAAAGAGAAAAATCCAAAACTTGAAAAAGTAGAAAGAAGAAAAAAAAGGAAAAGAAAGGAAGTCAGAAAAAGCAAAAGAAATTTCGAGAATGAAGCAGAAGGACAATATTCTATACCGAAAGAGAAAATCGAGGCACTCCATCTTTGGAGGAATAGAGAGAGATTGCCTTGCTGAAAGATTGAAGTGGGAAAACAAAGCAATCTCTGCGTGAAGTTGTAGCAGTTATTGTGGTTTTGTTACCAAAAAAATCAACTCGTTAATTATGTTGTTGATATTGTTTATCCGGTGGATATTTTAGGTTTTTAGCCTCATTATTTAATTGATTACTTTTAAATCAATCTAAAATAACGGTTAAAAAAAAAAATTATCGTTAATTTTAAATTAATCCAATAATAATTAATTAAATAATAAGAATAATAAAGTTAAAAGTATAGTAAGTATAACGTTTATCAGTTTCTATTATATGTACTATTTCTTTTTCCTTCGTAACTTTTCTTGTATTGATTCTGCATCGAAACCCTTCTTTCTTCCATAAAAATTATATAAATATTAAATTTATTTTGATTTGTTAAATATAAAATTTCTTAAAAAGTTTATCATGTGTACTACGGAACCAAAATTGAAATATACATTTATTTAATGAGCATCAATTATCTATTGTGTTATTTAATATGATCATATTAATTGAGAGAATTATAATTATTCATAACAAATTAACAAAAGTGAGAGAAAAGACACATAAAATATGTTAAAATAGAAAGTGTCAATCTTACGATCATTGATTTATTTATGAATGATTAAGATTCCTTTTCATATTAAATAACATATCATATTATATCAAACCTCCTTACCCACTTATTTTTAAACAAACTGGAAAGCTAAAACAAAACTACATAAACTACCATCGCCTAACCAACAGGAACACTGATCAAAGTATCACTGTTCATCAATTTTTTTATTTAAATGTCACGCGAACTGTCTTATTTCTCAATCTGTCACGGGGGCAAGTTCGCTATCCAGTGTAGCAAACTCGGTTTGCTGACGTGTACATTTCTAGTGGATAACAAGTACCAAATAAAAAAAAGGTTTGAAGGTCGCTACATAGGGTAAACCAAGTTCGCTACCCCGTGTAGCGAACTTGGTGTACACTAGAAACGTGACACGTCAGCAAACCGAGTTCGCTACACCGGATAGCGAACTCGCCCCAGTGGTAGATTGGGAAATAAGACTGTTCGCGTGGCATTTAGATAAAAAAGTTGATGAACAGTGACATTTTGATCACTGTTCCCTAACCAGCACACTACCTAGGGAGAGCTACTCCCGCAACATTATTATTATTATTATTATTATTATTTGTACACAAAATGGAAAAAAAAAAAAAAAGACAGAAAGAAACAAAATAAACTAAGCACAAAGCCTAGGCCAATGAGTTTTCATGAAGTCACTATGTAACTGATGCATGCACTCCAAAGAAGAAAGATCCAATAACTGAACATTTCAAGATAAGTGCTCGTTTGGTGGACAGATGAGCACCTGATTATCAATCTGATAAGATTATGTAGAAGAAGAAAGAAAAAAGAAAAAAGAAAATATAATGCAATAAATACAAATATATTGAGTAGCATGGGAATATATTGGGTAGCGTGAGGATATATTGGGTATCCAATATTGTTATCCTATCATGTTGAATCCTAACCCAGCTCCCCCCATAGGATAAGAAATCATGTATTGGATAGGATAAAATGAGACAATAGGATAAGCTAATCATATCTTATCGACCCACCAAACAAGAAATAAAAATAGGATATGATAAGTTATCTTATCATATCTTCTTTATCAGGTGCTCTAAATAGGCCCTAAGTTGCTAGCATAAGCAGCTAACCAATCGGCCACTGCATTCCCTTCACAATGGATATGAGAAATAGTAACATTCTAATCCTTGGCCCGAAATTCCTTAATGCGACTAATCAAAGTAGAAGATGGGTGTGAATGACTACATCCCATAAGGACCAGCTGTTGAGCCATCTAAGAGTCTCCTTCTATTCACATATTTCTAAAACCTTTGCTCCAAGCTACCTCTAGACCAACCAATAAGGCCCATAATTCTGCGTTCAAAGCTGTTCATATACAAAGTTTTCCGATGATACAATTACATTTACATCAACTATCAAATTTAACTATTACATAATCAATATAATATCAAATAACTTAGATTCTTTACTTGAGATGGGTTTCACTCAAAACTCCATAAAGTTTGATACTTTATCCAAATGAAGAAAAAACATAATATAGAAAAGAGCTTTATTAATTTCAGCGAAGCTTTCTCATGCTATAAATATAATTATATGTGAAACTCATTTACTTATAAAAAGCAAAATAAGGAAATAAGAGAGACAAATATTCTTCAGTAACATAAGAATATATTTTTTCTATAAAAAAAAGGCAAAACAGGGATGATTCCTAATGGAAAGAAAGTTGTAGCCACTATTGACAAGTAAAATGTAGAGGGCAGCAGATGCTCTGCTTTATGCTTGTATGCTTGAAAAAATGTTTCTGTTTTTATTGGGAAAAAAAAATTCCTATCACAATCGTATAAAAACGAATGAATCATATTGGAGAACAAAAAATTAACTGGACACACCGAAACAGAAACATTAAGGGTCTGTTTGATTGTTGTTTTTAAAAACAGTTTTTTAGTTTTCAGAACAAAAAAATTAAAAAAACTCATTTGGTAAAGTCTGTTTTGTAAAAAATATTTTGAAAACTATAACTATTTTTTTGTTTTTAGAATCAAATTTAGAGAACATGTCTGAGTTGTTTTTGTTTTCTGTTTTGATTTTTAACTTTCAAAAATTAAAAAATATAAAAAACAACTATTTCCATAACTATTTTACAAAACAGTTTTAAGAACAAAAAACACGATCAAACAGACCCAGGCTCTCATTGATTTTTGTTTTTCAAAACAGTTTTAAAGTTTTAAAAACAACAAAAAAAAAATTGTTTGGAAAAAGTGTTTTCATTATATTTGTTTTCAAAACAGCATCTGATTTTTTGTTTTAAAAATTGAAAAAGGAAAACAACTAATAGATGTTTTCAAAAGTTGTTCTTTTATTTTTTTTTTTTGTGCGGTGATATTCCTATAAATATAGGATTTTATTAATGACATTTTCGTAATTAAATTGACTTTTATTTTAATTTTAAATTATTTTACGGTGGCAAACTTATAAATACGAAGATTCATTAATGGTATTTATGTAAATAACTACAACTAACTATATTCAAATAAGTTTTATTATTTTTTTTACTCTAAAATCAGTTTTCAAAATTTATCCTCCAAAGATTTTAAAAGAAAAAAAGTAAATACCATTTTTGATCCTTAACAAATTTCATAATGCCCGCTTTAGTCTCTAGCAAATAAAAAAGTTTATTGTGATCCTTAAGAAATTCAAAATGGACTCATTTAGTTAAAATTATGGTCTTTCACAAATTTAAAAAAGACCCATATTAATCGCTAATAACACTAAAATAGATCCATTTTAAATTTTTCAGGAATACGGGCCTTTTTTATTTTCTAAGAAGACGTGCTGAAATAAATGGTATTTACTCCAAAAAAAAAAAAAAAAAAAAAACACATTCTACGAGAGAGGGAGAGAGACAGAGGAATCGGGTTGTGAGAACATTATACAACCCCAGAGAAAGGAATTTTCTAATAGAAAAACGAATCAAGTAAGGAATCAAGTAAAAATTGACTTTGAAGAAAGAAAGGCTTCTTGGGTTGAATTGGTTAACTTATTTATATGAACAAGTATGGATTTGAAGGCACAATCAACACAACCACAAACTTATATCCCAACTTTGTTTCTGCTCTTTTGTGATTAACATGGTCGACCCATTTGTCTTCGGTATTGCTGAATCACTGCTTAAGAAGCTTGCTTCTCATGTTTACAAAGAAGCTTATAGAGCCTATGGTGCGTATGACGATCTGCAAGGAATCAAAGACACTTTGTCAATTGTCAAAGGTGTCTTATTGGATGCTGAGGAGAAGAAGGAACAAAAACGTGGCTTGCGTGAGTGGCTGAGGCAAATTCAACACGTATGCTCCGATGCTGAAGATTTATTGGATGGATTTGAATGTCAAACCTTGCGAAAGCAAGTGGTCAAAGCTTCTGGCAGCACCAGGATGAAGGTAGGCCACTCCTTTTCTTTGACTAATCCTCTTGTTTTCCGTCTTAGGATGGATCATCAAATCAAAGATGTTAGGGATAGACTGGATGAGGTAGCTGATGATGGGACCAAGTTTGGTCTTGAGAGGATTGATGTTGATCACAAACTTGTGCAAAGGAGTGAAATGACTTATTCCCATGTTGATGCTTCAAATGTGATGGGAAGGGAGAATGATAGGGAAAGAATTATCCAGCTTTTGATGCAACCTCATCCTGATGGTGATGGTGATGAAAGCCTTTGTGTTATTCTCATAGTGGGTATTGGAGACTTGGGGAAGATCACACTTGCAAAGTTGGTGTTCAATGATAAGAAGATGGATGGACTTTTTCCATTGAAGATGTGGGTTTGTGTCTCTGATGATTTTGACATTAGGCAGATAATTATTAAAAACATCAACTCTTTATTATTCTGCTTCAGCTCCAACTATTGCTCTTGCTCATGAAGAAAACATCAAAAACTTAGATATTGAGCAGCTACAAAGTCATCTTAGATATATGCTTTCTGGTCAAAAAAATTTACTTGTCTTAGATGATGTATGGAATGAAGTCCATGCCAAAGGGATTGGGTTGAAAGATTTAATAAAAGTTGGTGTAGAGAGAAGCAAAACCATAGTGACAATACGTTCTAACTAGATTGCTTCAATCATGGGAACTGTTCGCCCTTATATCATACTTGTATATAGTTTATCCTTGTTTGTCAAATGGGCATTTAAAGAAGGCCAAGAAAAAGAACATCCTGATCTAGTGGAGATTGGAAAAGAAATTGTGAAAAAATATCGAGGGGTTCCACTAGCAAGTGAAAACATTAGCAAGTTTCCTATTCTCAAAATTTGATTTAGATAAGTGGGAATTCAAAATAGACAATGACATATGGAATTTAGAACAAAAGAGCGATGACATTTTACCAAGTCTTAAGTTATGATCAAATACCATCTCATTTGAGGCACTGTTTTGCTTACTTTTCCCATTATCCCAAAGATTTTGGCTTAAATAATATTGAAATTACTAATCTTTAGGCTGCACAGCTGGATGGAAGTCAAAAGCTAGAGAATATTGCTAGACAATATATAGATGAGTTGTATTCAACATCATTTCTTCAGAATTTTCAAGACTTTGGTGACTTTTACTCTTTCAAAGTACATGATTTGGTGCATGATCTTGCACTACGTGTCGCGAAAGAGTAGTTTCAAGTGGTAGACTCCCGTACTCGCAGTATACCCGAGCATGTGAGGCATTTATCAATTGTACAAAATGGTTCCTTTGGCCATGCTTTGTTCTCCAAGTCCAAAAGAGTGAGAACTATATTGTTTCCCATGAAAGGAATGGGTGTTGATAGTGAAACTCTTTTGAATGCATGGGTATCAAGATACAAATACTTACAGGATTTAGATTTACATTATTCTTCATTTGAGACTCTACCTAATTCAATTGCTGAGTTGGAGCATTTGTGAATCTCGATCTTTCCAATAACTGCAAAATCAAGAGACTTCCTCATTCAATATGCAAACTCCAAAGTTTGCAAGTTTTGTTAGTCAGAGAATGCATGGAGCTTGAAACATTTCCTAAAAGATTAGGAAATCTGATCAGCCTTCGCCAACTCTATATAACCACAAAACAATCTGTTCTATCACAAAATGAAATTGTAAGCTTGAGCAATCTTCGAAGTTTGAACTTTGTAAATTGTGACAATTTGGAGTTTTCATTCAATGGGGCACAACTCATTTCCCTTGAAGCATTGATTGTTAAACCATGTGGGAACCTTAAGTCCTTACCTCCTTATATTCTCCCCAAATTAGAGGCTCTATCAGTTGAAGACAGTCCAATGATGAATTCTCAAGTGCTACAACTATCAATGAACAATGAAATTCCAATGAAATATCTGCATCTTGAAAATTTTCCAGGGTTACAGACATTGCCTCCATGGATTCGAGGAGCCGCAAACACTTTACTGATCTTGTTCATTTTTAATTTTCCAACTCTCAAGATGCTTCCTGAGTATCTGACAACAATGACTCATCTTAAGATTCTATATATTGGTGATTGTCCTGAACTGTTATATCTTCCAAGTGACATGCATCGCCTCACTGCACTTGAAGAATTGGTCATAGATGGTTGTCCGGAATTGTGTCGAAAATGTCAGCCACAATCTGGTGAGTGCTGGCCCATAATTGCTCACGTCAAACGTATTTATATTGGAGAACCAAGAGGAAAGAAGGAAGATGAAGTCGTCAACCTCTAAGGTAAAATTATTATTCTGTCACTAAACTTCCACACACTTTGCAATTATATCCATTTTTAGAATATGTTTGGTATGTAGCAAGAGAGATCAATGGTTCATCGTTTGTAAAGCCATTGTTAATAGATATTTGCAATTCTATCCGCATTTAGAATATGCTCGGTATGGAGCTTCGGACAATGAATTGCTACTATATATAAACACTACTTATTCTGTGTTACTTTAACTCTTGAAGTTGAGTTTCATTTTCATCAATTGAATGAGATCATAGAATTCCAATAGTAACATAGCGTGAATTCTCGTGGGAAGAAAAAGTTTAATGAAAAAAAAAAATAGAGAGAGAGAGAGAGAGAGAGTACATGTTTGTTGTATCAGTAAAAAAGAAGATTCTTTGTGTGTAACCATTCCTTCATTTTAACAGGGCAAGGTAGATGATGAGGCTGGAGCCAAGCATGGACCAGGGAGATGCAGGGGCTGCAACAACATTATGAAAGGTCACAGGCAGACGAAACAGCTTAGGGAATATAAGAGTTGTGTGTTCAGGTCCAGCAAGAGAGAGCAGGTCAATGTTTGACATTAGATTCTAGGAAAGGAATCATGGTAATGGAAAATGATTGTTTCCCTCAGCATGTTTAGTCACTGTTTCGATCCTCTTAATTTAACTGGCATGATAGTGCCCGACATGATAAGCGCGGACAAATTGCATAAAAAGCATAAATAAGTTAAACTGTATCGCCATTCAAAATAAAAATAAATATCATTGTATCAATTCACACTATAAGTATAGCAAACTATTAAATCAGTTCAAAACCGGTTCAAGATCATTTCCAAGCCGATCCAGATTCAATTCAAAACCAAATAGGAGATGAATCAATTCTGAACCATTTTTAAATCAACCGGTTTTGGAACTGGTTCTGAACCAGTTTGAAATCAAAATTGGTTCTAAACTGATTCAAGAAGAGAAAAACCAATTTATGAAAACTAAAACCAGTTCGATTTGAATAAGCAAACCATTAAAATCGGTTTGGCTTGATTCTGAATAAAAACCAAACCAAACCAACCGCTGTACACCCTACTACCCAGAATGGCCTTTAAATAATCGTAAAGAGACTGACTTAAAAAGTGCAAATATTATGTATTTTGTTCTGAAGCTTATGCTTTGTATTCAGAAGAATGGAGGTTCCAGTGAACACGTAGACTTAGTCTTCTTTCGAGGTACATCAACTTTGACATACTAGCTTTGTAATCATAAGCTTTATATTTAGAAGATTGCTGATGATGACTTGCAAGATGTGCTGAGACAACAACAAAAATTCTTAAGAATCAATATACACATGAGCTATGACAGGGAGGAAAATGAAATGGTAGGTCTAATAGAAGGAAATCTCCTGTTGTAGATACATTATGAACATTATATTAGAAAAAGACGTAATTTTTCATTCCTGATATATTAATATTTGCTAGGATACAATACCTAAATCATGCCATACACAACTATACAATACATAAATTGTTGTCCAAGAATTGATCACATTTGACTGAAAACAGAAGCCATCGGAATGCAGAGTCACAGCAGAAAACCTAGAACTCCATTTTTCAACCCACCTTATTTTTCACCATGCCACGTTTGGGTGTCAGTTTCCTCATCAAAGGGAATGAAAACGTGAAAGAAAATTCAAGTCCACACTGCAATTATTTGGTTGAAGACAACTTCACCCTCCAAAAAACAGCTTGTACCTCTCATTTTTAGCATCTTCATCTCAAATTAAATCAACATGGGTGATTCATGGTTCTCTCCGAGCAAAATGGGGCATCAAAAGAGCAAACAGAATGATAAAAATATACCACACAAGGATAACAGAAATCATACAAGCATCGTGTCGCAAGACATGAAGGGGGTGAATAACCCAACAAAGAATGCATAGAACCCACCATAGCAATCATGTCATTTCCTCAATTATGTATCAGAGGTTGACCATTAAACATTTCAGTGCTCCATCAAGGCCGTTTCAGTCTCTGAGAGAGGAGCTGCAGCAAACACAATTCCTAACTCATTATTTTACCAACATAATATAAGTCATACAGAGTTGCTAAGGTTAGAAGCTTCTAGGATCTGTTTATGCATTTGAAGCACATATATTTATTTACCCACATGCATAAACTAATATGCATACGTTATTTCTTCTGTAAACACAACACAAAGAGGACAACCCTTTAAGAAAGAGAAAAAAACAAAACTTCAAAATGAATTCCACATCTTGCGAACATTGGGTCCAAGTACAAGATCAGTACCAAAACTTTCCTGACATCCAATTAAGTCCTCAAAGAAAAGTAAAACACTGCTATGTATCCCCCTCCCCCACTCCGTATCATATATTTCAAACTAGCAAAGAAATTAACAGCAAGATGTCATAAAGTGATAAAAGAACTGAGACAGATTACGATAGCAAAGCACTTTGTTGCAAACTCAACATACCCAGCAAGTCTTCAAATGAATCTGCTAAAAGTGATGAGTCCATTAGTAAAGGTGGTGAGAAGACTTGATCCTGAGCATCCTCAAAGTCAAAAATCGATCCTTGTGTATCAGAAGTTGCATTTGAACCAGAAAATGTGAAAAACCCATTTACATGATCGTAATCAGAAAGTCTTTCCAAATTATTCAACATATCTGGAAATTCATCCAACTTGCTTTCCCCATGTCCATCAGATGCATGACTCTCTAGCAAGGAATCATCCATCTGATATACAAATAACCTTTTACTCCTAGATGAAGCGGCTCTTTTTACTGCATCTAAATGAGAAAACCCAGTTTCTGAAAGAGGGGCAAAGAAGCATTCGGAACTTCTACCTGAATGGCTGTCTTGTGACGATTCAGAATTGCATGACCCCAATGACAGTGCCGCTTCTCTTACCGACCTCTTCAAACCCTGGACATAGGAACTATCGCTACCTGCAGAACATAAAAAAGGAATCAAAAACTACCAAATAGAGCCATTATCAGCCACTTTAATTTATAAAACACTCATGAAATTCCATCCAAAAAGAAATGAGCTTCAATATCATGAACCACATAAGCAGGAAGGAAAAAAAAACAACAAACCTTCTACTAAAGTCTCTTCTTGACTACTTAAAGGAGGATTCAATGATTTCCTATCACGAAGATTCTCAAGTGGGCTGGCTTGAGGAGCTGTGCCATTCCGCTTTTGCAAATTACCAGTTTTTCCAGAAGAGGGTGTCAAGCTAAATAATTGAGGGAGCTTTAAAGTAGGAGGACTGACAGAAACCTTGTCAAGATGAACATTTGATATTCTTGAAGTCAACTCCCCAACATCATCAGGGCTACTATCCTGAATAGAAAAAAATAAGGGACAAAAACAGATCTCGTATTTTTAAGGCATCAAAAGCAATGTTTACAATATTATACTATAACCGGGTAAACAACACCAACCTCCCCATCTTTGGAAAAAATAAACTAGATCTTCCTCTTATTTCAAAAAACGCTTCACTACATCACAATATTATAAGAGAATAACCACATTTACAGATCCAGGAAACAGCCTCTTTGTTATTATGCAACGGTAAGGCTGCGTACAAGGATTTCCTCCACCCCACACTCACTAGTGGGTTTAATGGGGAGTCGTTTCTTACTAGATAGAGCTTATAGTATCCAAAAATAACAGGAAGGAAAGCATAATTTCACCCAAATATAAGGTAGATTAGTATTTAATGAAGAAAATCAATACACGATGATTACCATCCTCCCACTACGTTGTGCTTGAATAGGTGACATTGTTGACCCACCGTGATTTCTGTTAATCGGAGGTAGATAGGAGCTTATGCAGTTCACCTTTTCTTTACACTCTGATATGGACTTTTGTATTGTTGGAGCAACTTCCTTGAGTTGGTTAATAAGCACCTGAATATGAAAAATGAAAGAATGTGAAACTCCCAGAGAGGAATTATTTTTAATGTAAAACTCCTAGAGAGAGGAATATTTTTATTCAGCATAAAATACTCAACACCTACTCATAAAGACAAATTAACACAATTCCCTTTGCTGGGGATTTCTCAAAACAAAATCAACCTAGTGTCAAAAATCATTCAACATTATTTCTGCTTCAGAATCAAGCACCACATAAAATGAAATACGGGAAAAGTAATTAAGGTATAAAAACTCCACCAAAAGTAAATAACAAATTAAAAAATAAAGCTTCTTATGGAAGCATGTTACGATCCCTAATAATAAAAGGTGTTGAGTCAATAGGTGGTTAGTTATGGGAATAAAATTTCCTTTTTCTGTTAGGGGTGTGTTTTGTGAGGTGAGGTTGAAGTTGCTATATAGAGGGTAAGGAATTATTGTAAAGGCATCTAAGATATCTTGGGACTTGGGCCGGAAATTGGGAGAGATCTGAACCTCTACAAAGTTCGGGAATATTTTACTTACTATCATTTTCCTTTTCCATTATTGTAATATTTTCCTTTGTAATTTGCTACCTCTAGTGTAGCTTGTCATTTTCTTTTCCATTAATCTATTGTATTTCCATTGGGGACAACCAAACTCCAATACGAATTCCCTTTTCAGTGTTAATTTCTTTTCCTTATTCTTATGAGTTCCTATCAATTGGTATCAGAGCTTCCACTATATCTCCCATTTGCAATTGAACGGCGCGACTAGTGACGCTGGCATTGCATTGTTTGCCCAGAGCTAGTAAAAAAACTAGCGCCAAGTCAGGCCACATTGGCATCGGAGCTGCGGACCGTGGTGAGATGTTACGATCCAATTGTAAGGTATGAGACTTGGAGTCCCACATCTGAAACATTAAGTTCTGGTGTAGTGTTTATATGGATTTTGGGCTCTCCTACCTTACAAGCTAGCTTTCGGAGTGAGACTCTCTCAAGGTTTATATCAGTGAGATATTACGTTCCAGTTGCAAGGTGTGGAACTTGGAGTCCCACATAAGAAACATGAGATTGTAGTGTAGGGTTTATATCAATTGGCATCAGAGCTCTTATCTAAGAGTTGTGGTATTAGTTAAAAAAAAAATTATGGTTCCAAAATTTTTTAGACATGGAAATTATGCTTGGGGATGGCTAATCCATTCTTAGCAATATTTTCGGACAAAGAAAACTCAAGAAGAAAAGATGATAAAGGCTCAATCCTAATGCAAGTTGGAAGAAATTTGAGACAGCTTTCAAAGAAAAATATTTACCTGAAATTTGTTTGGTAGATGATGTAGAATCGGAACATAAAAGCCTAAAACTCAACAAAAATTTGAGTTGGAGAAGAAAGAAATCATGGAGGCCACGAAAGAGATGTAGGGAGTAGGTTCTGCTATGAATAAACAAGATATTGATGAGGTTGAGATCATAACCGAAAGGGAGGGCGGAATCAAGGAAAAAATGTGGTGGCAAATGAAAAACAGCCATGATTACATTGATGGGGCATGGGAAAGAAGTGATTGTGAGGAAAGGGCAAGGAGAAGAGTTTAAGAAGATTAAAAAGGCTCTGGTTGCGAAGGTGTCGTTGCTGCCACAACCACTGGCGATGGTAGTCCAACCACTACCACTATCGGAGCTACCGAATTCAGGCTGTCGTGAGGGGTTGGCACATAGTAATTGAATAATAAATTTGCAACAAGTAAAAAGGCAAAACAGACAGAGAAGAGACCTAGAGAACAGATGGAATTGGGCGAGTTTTTGTGTCATGCCCAAATTACCATCAATTTGATGCAAGCCCAATCTAGCGATGTAAGACTGTTCGCAAAAAGTTTGACCCAAGCTCACATTTAGCACCCACACTCCTTCTTGGGTTGCTACGCCAACACTACCAAGTTTACATACAAAGTCGAGGATTGCGCAACACATCTCAAGTGTTACACTACGAAAGAGGCAAGAACGAAATCGCTGCAGACTATCGATTAAGAGGTCGCTGAAAGGTTATTGGGGATTTGGATAAACTGGGTCAAGAGATAATTATAGAGGGGAATTGGATGGAGAGATCTCTTCGCGAGTAGCGTGTTTGGAGAGCATGGACGAGGAAATGGAGGCCTTGAGATTGCTGACCTTCCTCTTAGAGACTCTAATGCAGCAGCACAAGGATGCAAACTTAGATACTAGCAAAAGGACGATGCACAAGGGGTGAGGCACTGCACTATATAATTTATCCTCTATCTAAAAGAGAAAGTCGCAAGGGAAAATGAGTTAGTGCAATTATGCGTAGCTTCCAAACATATACGTCATCTCATCACATCGCTCATTTGCTACTCCCAGTCATACCTCATGTTAAATTTATATACGTCACGGACGACTCATTTTTCGTGGATGAATCGGAACAAGGTCCTACCATCCTATGGGGTCGAGGCAACAATAGATTTGAATCACCTTGGTTTTTTGGAGAATTAGACATGCATAGAAAAACAACTCGGGGATCAAACCTTGCTTCTTTAGACTGAGTCAGGAAGGCGCTCTAATTACTTGGACTGATGAAAAGAAAGAGTGTTTTTCTGTATAACACTATTGATTGATTACATTGAGAGACCCAATAGGTCCTATTTATATTGAGTACAAAGAACAATGCTAATAAATAGCAACAGTAAACTAAGAGGCTTATTTACAATAACAAGAGACATTAATAAATAAGGGAACAAATAGCAAGGAAGTAATAAATGATAATCTAGAATATTCTACACTCCCCCTCAAGTTGGGAGATATATATTGATCATTCCCAACTTGCTGATCAAATCCTCAAAGGTCGGCTTAAGTAAACCTTTGGTGAGAATATCTGCCGTTTGTTCCTTAATAGGTATATATGACAAGCATACACTACCGTCTTCTAATTTTTCTTTGATAAAATAACGATCGACTTCCACATGTTTTGTTCTGTCATGATGGACAGGATTTTGAGCAATGCTGATAGCAGCTTTATTATCACAATATAATCTGATAGGTAGGGAATAAGAGATCTTCAACTCTTCCAGAAGCCTTCTTCCTTCACAAATACCATGGGCTAAAGCCCGAAAATCCGCTTCTGCACTGCTTCTTGCAACAACAGTTTGTTTCTTACTTCTCCAGGTCACAAGGTTTCCCCAGACATAAGTACAATATCCTGAAGTAGATCTTCGGTCCATTGCAGAGCCAGCCCAGTCTGCATCTGTATAAACTTCAATCATCCTTTTGTTCCCCTTTTTAAAGAGAATTCCTCGACCAGGGGTGTTTTTGAGGTACTTGAGAATTCTATAAACAGCACTAAGGTGTTTTTCCTTAGGAGAATGCATGAATTGGCTAACCATGCTCACAGCAAAAGCAATATCAGGACGAGTGTGAGACAAATAGATTAATTTCCCCACTAGTCTCTGGTACTGCTCCTTATCAACATCTTCCCCGTCCTCAACTCCCATCTTGATATTAGCTTCAATTGGAGTCTCTGCTGGCTTGCACCCAAGCATACCTGTTTCTTGCAACAGGTCTAGAATGTATTTTTTCTGAGTTAAGGAAATTCCTTCCTTACTTCAAGCAACTTCCATGCCAAGGAAGTATTTGAGAGATCCAAGATCTTTTAGTTCAAACTGATCAGCTAAACATTTTTTTAAAGAGGCTATCTCCTCGGGTATCATTACCAGTGACAATTATGTCATCAACATAAACAATGAGGATAGCAATTCTACCTTTGTCAGAGTGTTTAAAGAATAAAGTGTAATCAGTCTGAGCTTGGGTGAACCCTCTTCCCTTAACAGCTTGAGTAAATTTCCCAAACCATTCTCTGGGAGATTGTTTAAGTCCATAGAGAGACTTCTGCAACTTGCACACAGAACCATCCCCTTTTTCAAAACCAAAAGGTGGATCCATGTAAACTTCCTCATGTAGATCACCATTCAAGAAGGTATTCTTGACATCTAACTGTTGCAATGGCCAATCAAGGTTGGCGACAAGAGATAGCAGAACGCGAATAGTGTTAAGCTTGGCAACAGGAGCAAATGTCTCCTGATAATCAATCCCATGAGTCTGAGTAAATCCCTTAGCAACTAATCTGGCCTTATACCTGTTGATGCTGTTATCTGCATTAAATTTTATTGTGAACACCCACTTGCAACCAACAGTTTTCTTTCCTTTAGGTAATGTCACAAACTCCCATGTTCCATTTTTTATAAGTGCATCCATTTCTTCTAATACGGCGTTCCTCCATTTTGGGTCATCAAGTGCTTCTTGGATATTTTTGGGTATCCTGGTACTATCTAACATAGTGTTGAAAGCACGAAAACCTGGAGATAACTTCTCATATGAGATATAATGGGAAATAGGATGAGCAGTGCAAGATCTAGTACCTTTCCGAAGGGCGATGGGCATATCAATGTTGGTTGTGCTAGTGCATTCAAGTGGGTTGCTAGAGCAAGGACTCGAGTCAGGATCCTGGCAGTCTAGAGTCTCTTGATGTGTTTTGCGCCTGCTGTAGAATTTTCCCCATTTACCAGGAGGATCACAAGGACTGGGAGGATCATTAGACTCAGGTATAGTTGCTCCCCCTGTTTCCTTCCCAATAACTCCCCCTGTTTCCAAAGGCCAAGGTAAGACAGCAGCTTCATTTGGTTTCCCAGGCTTATCTTCATCCATACCAGTAGACTCCCCCTGAAGAGAAGTCGGGGAAAAAAAGGATTGTGTCTCATAAAAGGTAACATCCATGGAAACAATGACCTTACGGAGAGAAGGTGCGTAACACTTATAGCCTTTTTGATTAGGGGAATATCCTATGAAGACACATCTAATAGATTTAGGGTTAAGTTTGGACCTTTGATGTGGAGGAATATGTACAAAGACCACACAGCCAAATATTTTTGGAGGAAGAGAAGAAAGAGCACAGAAAGAAGAAAAAGATTTAGTAAGACAAGATAAAGGAGAATGAAAATGTAGTACCCGAGAAGG